AAACAAGTATACAAGACGAGTGTGGATGGGAGAGTTGGAAGGGGTCGACCTCAGCGAACGTACCTCAATCAGATTGAGGACGTTTTTAGCAAAGGCCAGCTTAGGAGTACCCTAATTAAGTTAATAACAATGTACCTACCTATATAGTTTAAGTTTAAAAAATTTGGCTATCAAAAGAAATTTCAGTCGTTGTACAGTTGATATTTGGCTCTGTTGACTAATGAGTTTGCTGACCACTGCCCTAGCTAGTTTGGCTCAGTGGATAGAGCGTTGGCCTATGGACTGAAGGGTCCCGGGTTCGATTCCAGTCAAGGGCACATGCCTGGGTTGTGGGCTTGATCCCCAGTAGGGGGTGTGCAGGAGGCACACCTCCAACTGGGGATAAAAATATATTTAAAAGATATATAAAGATATTTTTTATTGATTTCAGAGAGAGGAAGGGAGAGGAAGAGAGAGATAGAAACATCAATGATGAGAGAGAATCATTGATTGCCTGCCTCCCGCACACCCCCCACCGAGGATCTAGCCTGCAACCCCAGTATGTACCCTGACTGGGAATCGAACCGTGACCCCCTGGTTCATGGGTCGATGCTCAACCACTGAGCCACACCGGCCAGGCACATTAGGTACCTTTTAAAGAACAATTTGCTATTCCTAATGCAGATTAACATTTTGGAAAGGGTTGTTTTTAGTTCTTGAGGTTTTTCTGCATTTAGAATACAGCTTTGAGTTGATTGTTTTTGCATTGTGAATAATGAGGTATGTGATTTAAAACTTGGTGTCATTTTCCATTTCATATGCATGAAGGACACTTCCAAATATATGGATTTCTGATCTCTGAAAGTTAATTTCAAAAAAGTATTTTTCATGTGTTTATCAGTCAGAAATCTTGCTTGCTAACTAGAAAACACCATCCTCAAGTTTTATAGACTAGTTGCTTAGTAAGTTTTTAATTGACTTTTCAAAAATATTTACTGTTTTGTAAGTTAGTTTTGGACAGTTTGCATAAAATCACAGCCTGGACTTCACGGGATGACTATGTGTTAGGAACCAGTGAGGGTGTTCTAGAACGCCATGTATTTGTCTGTTGGGGAAACATGGGCTTTTTCTGGCTTGATCCAGATTGCCTTGTGTTGTGAAATTGGATTTTGAAATGATTGGGTTTTGCTTTTTCTTTATGCATTATCCAGGAAGACGATGTAAAACAGCCATTTACTGATAGTGGCTGTCTTCTTGTGGATGAAGATCTTTTTGAAACTGGGTTGGAGGAGGAAAATAACTCTTCATTGGAAGACGAAGAATCGCTAGAATCCATAAGGGCAGCTGTGAAAAATAAAGTAAAAAAACACAAGGCAAGTAAAAGATTATTGCAGTAAGAGCTACCCTATTGCTTCTAAGTTTTGCGTTATTTTCTGACTTACTTTTGGAACCTTAATTTTTTTAAAGTGATAGACATGCTAACTTGTTGGGAAACTAGTAGTTTTGATTGCCTTCATAGAAATGTTGAGGGGAGGGCAAATAAGATACTTTATGTTGTGTAAGAGGCAGAGAAATGAGGGGGCAGAGATGTAAATTTCATAACTGTGTGGCCTCTAAGAAATGAACTAATAGGGTTTCAGGAAGGGTATAAAAGAGACGTATCAGTCAAAAGCATTGTTATCCTGAGTGATTGGGAGCATAATTGTTTTTCCTAAGGTTATCTCTAGGTGCCTGGGAGTCATTGTCTCTCCTTAGGGAAAGATGTAACACAGAGGTATAAGAAATGAGAGCCCAAACTCCATTTGAGACATCTAATTTGTTTTCTAGGCATTATAGTGTGCTATGTTTAAAATTTTCTATTTGATAATTATTGACATATTACTAATGTAGCATGATGTAATGTTGGAGCACAAAAGCAATCTTTGAGTAAGCTTATTTCAGTTTCATTTTTGTCCATATTATTTAACTTGTCATCTCTTTTAGAAAAAGCAACTATCTTTGGAGAGTGGCATTTCTTCATATGAAGAAGAAAGTGAGTTATCAAAAGGCACCATGAGGAAGGTGAGGTGGAGCCCCGTACTATATAGTTGTCATGTGGTCTCTTTCCCCAGGAGATTGTGAATTTCTCAGGGATAATATTTTATCATGTTTATCATATTTTCCTGGTACCCAAGATAATGCTTTGTACATAGGAGGGACACAAATATGGATTGAATTGAATTCTTTGTGACTTGCAAATGAATGAACTCCTTGGTTAATATTGTATTGAGCTTATTTGTGCTTACTATTACCTCTCCGTCCTCTTTTCTTGAAAAGAGCGAACTCTTTCTGAATGTCTATGTGTAGCATTAATGTACTCTCACTTTTTGTTTTCTTTAAGGAAAGGAAGGCAGCCAAGTTAAGTAAGGAAGCATTAAAAAAACTACACAGTGAGACTCAGCGCCTTATTCGAGGTAATCCAAATCAGTACAGTCAACTTTGAGGCAAATCACAATATTTCTTTGTAAGCTCAATTTAGATGGGGATTTTTGCTTGTTTTAACACTCCTCCTAATATGAATTGGGTTGTAATATCAAGTTTAGAATAGATCTTGGTGGATGGCTATTGTTCTGAAGCCCCTGGGACATTACTACAAACAGAAAATTTTCAGAACTATAGTCGCGGTAAAGAGGAAAGTCTTTTTTGTTTTTGTTCTTTTTTTTTAGAAGTTTTACGAGTTTATTTCAGTTCATTTGAGCCAAATTGATGACATGCTGGAAAGGAAGATCTTAAATGCTCCCGGGAGGTTTTTTGTTTTTCATGGTTTTCTATGGACCAGCTGCATCAGGATCCCTTTGGGAACTTTACAAATATGTAAATTCTTAGCCTCCACAGAAAGTCTGACTCAATAGGCTTGAAATGGGGTCCAAGAATCTGTATTTTTTAAGAACTTCCTGGACCAGTTTGATTTCACAACTAGGTTAAAAGCCACTGGTCTATCTCGGTGGGCGGGAGAGGGTGGTAGAGGGGAGATGGGAAGAGGTTAACCAAAGAACTTATATGCATATATGCATAACCAATGGACACAGACAATAGTGTGGTGAAGGCCTGGGGTGGGGCAGGGGTTAGGAAGAGGGAAGCTAAGGAAGGGGTTGTTGGAGGACATCTGTAATACTGTCAACAATAAAAAAAATAAAGAATTTTTTAAAAAGCCACTAGTCTTCAGGGATTTCTTTTGTACTTAGATCCTGTCTTTATTAAAGCCAGGATTGTTTTCTATTTCTGGTGATGGCTTTGGCTTACTGTTTAGTTAACTGAATATAAAGCGACATTTCAGAATATACAGTATATAGATTTACTTGTTTTGTTCCATTTTGTAGAGTCTGCACTTAATCTTCCGTATCATATGCCTGAGAATAAAACCATTCATGATTTCTACAAACGTAAACCCCGGCCCACTTGGCAGGGAAATGCCATGGCCCTACTAAAGTAAGAACCCTCTTTCCTGTGATTATAATTTTTCATAAATAGTTCAGATTCCTTATACCCTCCGTACCAATTTAACTGGTTCATTCTGTGCTAAATGATGAGAATGTTTCACATTTAGGATAATTTTCAACTCCAGCTTATTTCCCCTTCGCTAGGTCGTCTAAGTATCAGCCAAGCCATCACAAAGAAATCGCAGACACTGCCAACACAACTGAGATGAGCAGTGACCATCATAGCAAAGATCCTGAGCCAACAGCAGGTGCAGGATATGAAATGGAAGCTAATGCACTCCCTGCAGTTTCCAAGGAACTCCAGGTGACCACTGGACCAGATGAGTCTTGCAGTAAAGATCTGATGGTAAGTGAAGAGCCAGAAATTCCGGAGAAACAGGAGCAGAGGGATGCTAGACCTTCTCCTGGGGACAGCTCAGTGGCACAGCAGGAATCCAGCTTCCTTGGGAGCAAGGTCAATGACGGGTCTGAGACTGCAGGGCATGTGGCCCCTGAACCTGATGCCCTGGAGGGAGAAGGCCTGCAAAAAACAGAAGAAGCAGATGAGAAGGTGGAAGAACCCAGGCAGCAAACCAAATCAGCGGCAGTCGTGCCGCCTGAGAAAGTGAGGAGGTTCACACTGGATAGACTTAAGCAACTGGGAGTAGATGTTTTCGTTAAACCTCGGCTGGGTGCTGATGAAGATTCCTTTGTGGTACTTGAAGAACCTGAACCCAACAGAGGTAATCCTTTGAATTGTGGGGGGTCTCCCCAGAGTGATTTATTCGGGCAGCATTCAATTGCATGCCACTTTGGAGGACAGGGAACCCAGGAGAAGCCACAACCACACATGATCTTATCCTACAGATGTACAGGCATCCTGTTTTATTGTGCTTCACCTATTGCACTTCACAGATGTTGCATTTTTTTTACAAATTGAAGGCAGTATTGCACTTCACAGATGTTGCATTTTTTTTTACAAATTGAAGGCAGGTCCCTCCACCAGCAAAATGATTATGACTTGCTTTATTGTAATACTTGCTTTATTGTGGTCTGGAACTGAACCCGCAATATCTCTGAGGTATGCCTGTACCAGATAGGGTAGAATCCCATTTAGATAAATTTGGCAGTGTATCAGAATATTCTAAACCTTGTTTAAAATTGAAGCCTATTCATAGCTTAACATATAAAAGAGGTACATTGCTATTGTGTTCTGATATGACATTCATAAAAGCATTACTATTCAGTTTTTCACAAAGAAAAATATTTTGGTTCAGGAAATTGCAAAACTGAATTTCTTTTCTTCTTATTTTTTTTTTACTCTATTCAGCAAATATTAAACTATCCACTACATGTAAGATGCTATAGGGCATACCAAGGGAAATCTGACATTTATTCTACACTTAAGCTACTTACACTGTAGTAGGGAAGATAAGTATGCAGAAGAGAAAGTGGTGACATCTTTTAAAACATGTGTAACTGATTATGAAAAAAATTAAATAATGTGGAGAAAAGGGAAAAAAGGTTAAAATTTCTTTCTTTGCTGAAAGAAACTTTTAGATCGAAGTGCTTTGGGCCCTGGCTGGGTAACTCAGTTGGTTGGAGTGTCATCCAGCCAAGGTTTCGAGTTCATTTCTCAGGGCACATACCTAGCTAGGTTTGATCCCCAGTTGTGTATACAGGAAGCCAGCTCTCTCTCACATAGTGTTTTCTTCTCTCTCTAAAAATCAATAAAAACATATAATAATAACAATAAATTAAAAATAAAGTGCTTTTGGAATTCAGAAGAGGATAAGTTTTTTCTAATAGGTGGTTAAAGAAAGGCTTGAAGAATAGGTGGATGTAATTTCTTGTTCACTGCCTTCCCCTACTTTGAGTAGGGTCTTCTGGCTTGTTCCCTACTCTATACTCAGTGCTTCCACAGTGGATGACACATAGTAGGCATTCATATTTATTGAATGAATGAATGATCTTTCAAATAGAACTCAAGTATTATTCCCACTTTAGGTAAACTTCCTGACTCAGATAGAATTGGGTGTTGCCTCTGCATTAAAGCAGTATAGCATGACAATTAAGAGCTTAGGCTTTATAGCAAGACCAGAGTTTGCATCTTTAACCTTGAGTATGCTCTTTGGCCTCTCTAAGCCATCTTTTAAAAACAAAAATTGAAAAAATAGCACTCTGTTTCACAAGTCTACGGGGAGGATTTGTTAAAATCATGAATACAATTAGATAGCATAAAGAAGCACTCAAATAGTGGCTGCTACTTTTACTAGTGTTATTAGTGAAATTAATACATCAAGATTCACTAAACAGCTTATGGTTGGCAGGTACTATGTTATCCACAGAATTTGGTGTGTAAAATATGCTCAGTGAGTCTTTGTTAATTGAATAGATGGGCTTTGTGGAAGTGGAGAGGACATTTTTGGAAGAAACAGAAAGAATGGTACATATTGGGAGGTTCGTGTAAGTCAGTTTGACCAGAACAGAAGGTGGAGGGGGAAGAGTTGTATAACAGCCTAGCCGGTGTGGTTCAGTGGTTGAGGGTCAACCTATGAACCAGGATGTCACGGTGAAAGTTTTGTTCTGTTGGACAAGAAATTATCTAAACAGTTCCAGACTAAGAGATAGAGAACAAACATTTTTGGTATTTTTTAATCTTCACAGGAAGTTATTTTTTCCATTGATTTCTAGAGAGAGTGGAAGGGAGGGAGAGTGGAGAGGGAGAGAGAAACATCTATGTGAGAGATACATTGATTGGTTGCCTCCTGCACGGGCCCCTACTGGAGCTATGGAACCAGCAATAGAGGTACTTGCCCTTGACTGGGAATCGAACCTGAGACCCTTCAGTTCTCATGCTGACGCTCTAACCAATGAGAAAACTGGCCAGGGCGAAAACAAACATTTTTTGAGTACTTAGTATACTAGACACTGCTACATTTTGTTGCATGGAACCAGAAGTTACCTAAGCAGTCTTGGACTGAGAGACAGGAAAGGGAAGAAACTTAATTTTGAGTACCTACTGTGTAGATTCTTTATTAATTGTCTTATATACAAGTTGGGTGTGGTTCAGGGGCAGCCTTAAGGAGAATTTCCTTTCTGATTGTACTGACTAAGCTAGCATAACAGTTTCACCAAAAAACTTTTTCAGTCCTGCTGCTGAGTTACATCACTGACTGGATTGTCATTTTCTTTTTTCTGTTTTTTAATTGACCTTGCCCATATTTAGTAAGATTTCCAATAAATAGTGAAATGTTCCAAATAGGGAATTTTTTAAAAGGAGCCCTTGAATAATCAAGAATGATGGCATTTTTCCGATCAGTTTGTACTTTAAAAAAAAGAATTGCACATATTTAGAAACTTCATTTGCAAATTTCTACCTAAATGATTTTTAAGTATGTTGAAGAATTGCAGCAGTTCATTAGTTTGGGTTAAGTTATATGAATTCACAGAGGTGTTAGTAGCAAAGGAGTGTTTGGTGTTTCTGCGTGTGTGTTTTTTCTTACAACGTTAAGTTTCTTTAAAAACTTAGCTTATAATTCCTAACTGGAATCATAAAGGAAAGAGTTTGAGCATGGCAAACTGACATACTGGTTGACACTTGGGTTTAGAACTGGAGGCCTTGAAGCAGCGTTTCTGGAAGCATGCTAATCCAGCAGCCACACCCAGGGCTGCTCAGAAGGTAAATGTGAACATCGTCGTGAAAGAGGTGGGCACCGACGGTAAGGAAGAGCTAAAGGCCGATGTGGTACCTGTGACGTTGGCAGCTGAGAAGCTGGATGGAGTAAGCCACACAAAACCAGGTATTTGCGTTTACTACTTTTTTTTTCTTTGTGCTTTGTACTCTGACCAGTCTTTATGCCACTGAAGAAACGATAGTGAAAAGTTACAGGCCCTGGCCGAGTAGCTCTGTTGGTTCATTCCCATACTCCAAGGTTGTGGGTCCGATCCCCGGTTAGGGCACATACAAGAATCAGTCAAACAACAAATCGATATTTCTTATTATCTCTCTCTGTCTCTGTGTCTGTTGAAAATCAATAAATTAAAAAAAGTTATAGAATCTTTTTTCTTGGAGACTTTGGAGAGTGGACAGCAGTACCTCTAGCATGATTCATGTGTAGCATTGCCTAGAGGTGTGGGGTGGGTAAGATGTCTTATTTTAAAAAACTAAATTATCTATTGTAGAAAATGCATGAAAATAATAAACAAAACTTCTACAGTCCTCTGTGTATCTATCCTTTTAAACTCTCTTTACATGTTTGTTTTAAAAAAACAATGTGATAACACCATTCATTCTGCTTTGTAGTCCGCTTTTTTGTTTTCAGTGTGTTAGGAACAGGTCTGTTGTTCCCACTCCCACTTTGAAAATATGAGTAATAGAAAAAATTTAGCCCTAACTGGTTTGGCTCAGTGGATAGTGCGTCGGCCTGCGGACTGAAAGGTCCCCGGTTCGATTCCGGTCAAGGGCATGTACCTTGGCTGTGGGGACATCCCCAGTAGGAGGTGTGCAGGAGGCAGCTGATTGATGTTTCTCTCTCATCGATGTTTCTAACTCTCTATCCCTCTCCCTTCCTCTCTGTAAAACATCAAGAAAAAAAAAAGAAAAAAAAATTTAAAACACTGAGGAAAAGGTATAAATGAAAAATTAGTCTTCCCAAAGGCAACTGTTAACAATTTTTTGTTTGTTCTAGGAAAATTCATATGTATATACCATTGTGTGTGTGTGTGTGAGAGAGAGAGAGACAGAGAGACAGAGATTGACAGAAACTGAATATTCTGTGCCAGGCATTGCTCTAGGTGCTTTACAGAAAATAGCATTAGTATCCTTATTTTATATATGAGGAAATGGTATACAAAGCATTTACACAACCTCCTCAAGTGCTAGAACCAGCAGCCTAATCCAGACCCCCTAACCCCAGAGTTCAGATACATATTTTGTTGCTTTTGAGGTTTTTTTTTAACAGCTGCATAAAATTTCATTGTATGAGTATAAGATGATTTGTTTAACCATACTCTTATTAATGGACATATTGTTTGTTCCAGTTTTTGGTATTTCATATAATGTACTTCCTAGTATGAGATATATGTTGGTATATTTGGATGCAAAATTTCTTACAGTGAAAACAAATTTTAATGTATATCATTTCATTGTTTTTCAAAATAGTTGTCCCAATTTATACTCTGAATAATATAAAAGTTTCTGTTTCCTCCTGTTAATTCATATTATCAAACCTAAGTTTTGCTAAATATATAAAAAATGGTACCTCTTTATTTTGATTTGTAGCTCTTCAATTAGAAGTGAGGTTAAACATTATTTTTAACTTTTTTATTAACAATATATTCATTTTCTGTGAACTCCCAGTCCATATCCTATGCCCATTTTACTCTTGAATTGTTCTCTTTTTCTTCAAAATAGATCAATTTATCAATGTTTTCTTTCATGGCTTCTGAGCCAGAGACTATTGAAATCCCACTCCTCCTCCCTTTTTTTGCCTTTTTAATAATAAGTTTATAATCTTTGCATAGTATATTATCCCAGGGTGTAGAACATAATTCTGGAAGTTCTCTTTTACACTTGACTTCATAATAATCCCCATTTGTTAAAGTAACAAAAGCCTACCGTACTAAGATCTCTGCCCTTTTGGGATGTGACGAGAACACTTGGGGAGTTGCCTAAAACGCACACTTCCATTATTGTAGTGTGGAGTCAGTCATTATGTCTAACGCATGCCTTCATATTTCTGTTCAGGTGAAAAGCTTCAGGTGCTGAAAGCTAAACTGCAAGAAGCAATGAAACTCCGAAGGTTAGAGGAGCGCCAAAAGCGCCAGGCATTGTTTAAATTAGATAATGAAGATGGATTTGAAGAAGAGGAGGAGGAGGAAGAGGAGGAAGAAATGACGGATGAGTCTGAGGAAGATGGAGAAGGGGAGGAAGAGGAAAAGTTAGAGGAAGAGGAGGAAGAAGGCAGTCACGAGGTTTCTGGCAATTATATAATTTTGTTACTTGGTCATGATGAATAAGGAAAAGATAAGAGTCCGATTTGAATGAGTATAATAAGCATGTTCAATTGTATAAGAGATTTTAGGGGCAGACATGAATGCAGCTAGCTCATGTGTACCTCATTCTTAGTGCATTCAGTTTAGTTAGCACCATTGAATACCTATAGTTCACAGAGCCATGGTTTGTGTTAGTTTATATTATGTAACACAATGCTAGTATGAAATGACTTTGAGTGAATAAGGACTTTTGTCTTTGTTGTTTATTTAGATTTCTTTGTTCAGAATAAAAAGCAGTTTTAACCTTGGCCAAGTTGAAGCCTGGAATCAATTCTCAGGCAGGCCGAGACCTTCCTGTAATAATTGCATTCTTGGTTGAGGAGGGTATTTGTAGAAAGGTCTCTTACCCTTGTTCCATGGTTTTCTGCTGAGGGAACATAGGTGATGACACGATTTTTTTGTATTAGAAATATGAAAGGCTTCCTTGTTTGAACACTGGAGTCACTTGAAAGAGTTGGTTAACAGTTAGCCTGGGGAGAGAAAGAAGAAAGCAATGGCTGAACTGGGTAGCATGTCACAGTCTGTGACTGGTTTGAGGTCAGTAGTCGTCCTACAATCTCAGGCTAATCATTTAACCTCTCATTGCCTCAAATATTAATTCCAGTTTTCTTTCATAATTTTAAAGTAATTTTGGGAGGGTAAAAGGTAAAATAAGTATGAAAGAACTCTAAAAGTGTAAGGGAGAATTATATTCTTGATACTGGTGGGACCAGATTTCTTTCAGGTTTACCTTTTCAGATGTAAGATGTGACCAAGCAGTCATATTTCAGGCCAACAGTGTGTTTGCTTTAAACATTTTTTTGACATGTATTATTTTGTTTTGGGGTGGTGTGATTGATAAAGACGGCAGAATTCCTTCTCGGTAATGAAGAAGTAGAAACCAAAGATGAGAAAGAAATGGACAAAGAAAACAATGATGACAGTAGTGAAATTGGCAAGTCAGTTGGCCTTCCGTCTGTTCTTAAGCCTCTCTCATCAGATTCTACCGTTCTCCTATTTAAAGACAACTCTTCCAAGATGGAGTAAGTAATTCTCTCTAAGGAAAGATAAGATTCCCTTGGATTTGCCCCTCTAGTGAGAAGCAGAAACACATACTCAAACAGTTTACTTTCTTGTTTTGTAGTTACTTTCCTAGTGAAGAAAAATCAGAAACAGATGAAAACTCAAGCAAAAGGCCTAACAAACTGGGTAAGTAGTGACTCTTTCACAGAATTTGACTTCTGTTTGATCGTTCAGTTTTGATACTTAAGGACTATGATTCCATAAGGTTCCATTTTTTGAGCCCTAGTGGCATTTTCCCCTTCTTACATGTGGCAATGAAAGCAGTTTATGAATTAGATTTTTTTTTTTTTTGGTCTGGTTTTTTAAAACTTATATGCAGTTTCTTTATAGTTGACCATGGGCATCTAATAGGTCTGTAGTAAGTGTATGGATTGTGTGAACCATGAAACATTTCCATGTAGATCAGAGGGAGATGTGTAAGTGATTGGATAATGGAGAGAGTGATCATAGGCATTAGGTCGGGTGACAGATGGATCTTTCAGGTGTTACTTAGCTCAGAGTGATAAGCCTTGATTAACTTAATGATTTGGAACATATTATTTGAGAAACTTGCCTGTGAATGTTACTTGACAGTTTCATCCTCAATTCTTTTTCCTAAACAAACCCACTTTATTTCTGGAATCACACACCTAAAAGTGACTTCTCTTTCTTTAGATGAAGAGGATTCATGCTCATTGCTAACAAAAGAGAGCAGCCACAATAGCAGCTTTGAGTTGATTGGCTCCACAATTCCATCCTATCAGCCTTGCAACAGACAAACAGGCCTTGGGACTAGTTTTACCCCTTTAGCAGCAGGATTTAGGTCGCCTTCCCCGGGGCTGTTTCGAGCCAGTTTGGTCAGCTCAGCTTCTAAGGTAAGATGGTAATGGTTTTCCGATCTCCTCCCCCTTTTGCTTCCCGGGATGCTAAGTAAAATGTGTCCCAGCCAACCAACTCCTACCCCATTATGTATGTTCAGTTTAAAAATCCACCCTGTGTATTAAAAACAAGCTTCATCCAGTGTTCTTACTTTCTTGGAGATATTTTTCTTTATGCTTCTCTTGGCTATTCATTGTCCTCCTCAATTGCAGTTGCCTGAGAGTGAATTAAATATTGCAAATAGCAACTTCTGTTGTTGTCATGACAGTGAATGATATTTGTAAAATGTTATGTTTTTGTTTGGTTTTATTTTGGTGCCAGAGTTCAGAAAAGCTGTCTGAGCCTTCACTTCCCATAGAGGATTCCCAGGATCTATATAACGCCTCCCCAGAGCCTAAGACACTTTTCCTAGGAGCAGGAGATTTCCAGTTCTCTTTAGAAGATGACACGCAGAGCCAACTGTTGGATGCAGATGGGTTGGTAGTTTTATGTTTTTGTGGGTGGGAAGGTGCTGGGCACTGCTTAAATTTGTTTAAAAATAAAGTGAGCTTCTGTCACTCCATCTGTGCTTTCTCATCTGAGAAAGAGAAGATGTACAGACCATTAGTATTACATTCTGCAAGCTTGAACAAAGTCTCTCCAGAATGTGAAATGTAAATAGCCCTTGCTGGCATCCTTCAATCTCCGCCTCATTTGAAATGCATAGCTCTTGTTTTTTTTGTTTTTTTTTAAGAAAGCTACCCAAGGGCAAGATTTTTTTTATATAATATTTTTTAATAAACTTTTATTGATTTTTTACAGAGAGGAAGGGAGAGGGATAGAGAGTTAGAAACATCGATGAGAGAGAAACATCAATCAGCTG